GCAGTGTGAGGCTCCATTGACCTTAATTCCATAAATATTTATTGAGCACCAGTGGGGTACTCCTAGTTCTGGGGGGGGTCTGGTGAACAGGGGAACATGATCCCTGTTCCCAGGGGACATCCATTCAACTGCAAACATACGAACTTAAGAAAATAAGTCAGGGTGGGGACCTTAGAAATCAAGGCTACAAAGTGGTTGTTGGGGGGACAACTTGCTGCTTTAGAAAGAGCAATCAGGGCAGGTATCTCTGAAGAGGGGACATTAATGATGAGCAGAAGTCAGCAGTGCAGAGGGGAGGGTTTTCCAAAGAGGGCTGGAATGAGCTTGCTGGTGGTGAAGGTGTAACTGAAGCCAAGTAAGCTGGGAAGAGCATTTGGTGGGTGATCTTGGAGGCCCCTGAGGGTCTTGAGGTCTGCATAAGGACTCTGGACTTTGCCAATAATGAAATTAACCACAGAGACACCTGTTTAGGAGCAAATACATGATTGTTGCTCATCAGTGCGTAACATTGACTGTTCTGTTCATGCTCTGCGTGCAGGAAGACCCTGGAGAAAAATCTGAGTTAATCAATAAGAAGCTTTATTCATAAGTAAATTAATGTATTAATAATGTCTGCGGTGAGCAGGTAGCTTTTGCAATCCCACCCCCATGTCCCCGAGGGAATAGCCTGTGTTTGGGATAAGTGATTAGTTGTAGGCTCTGGGTTGAGCACCGGGCCGCTCCTGTTCTTGACCGAGCATTTTTCTGTTCTGGGGAGGGTCGAGGTGGTTAAGGTTATCCTGAGATTGCCCAGAACACAGAAGTACAACACGAGTGGGACTGAAGCTGCTCTTCTTCATGTTGACCTCATCGAAATAAGAATCTGTTCACATACGTGATGTCCTCAGAAATGCTAGACTTGGGGGCTTCTAAAACACAGGGTCAGGAAAACAGCTTGTTTGGGAATGTATGGTATTTGCTAGCTTGTTGATGCTGACCCTGATTCCACTCCAGGGCTTGAGGAGAAAGCCCAGCAAAGATCACTGCACCCACCTGTATAGCTTTTGCTTCTCCCTGTGATTTTGAAGAATGTTTTCCTTCCCTACTGGGTGGAGTTCACCTGCTCCAACGACTCATTCATCATCCTTGGTTGCTGTCCTGTCCTCTCCGACTTCAGGTTGGGGAGGTTCTGGAAGTGATTAGGCTGTTGTAAATCAGGTTTTATGATGTGTGTGTCAGAGATAAGCAGCAAGGAAAGGGGGAAT